GAAGATGAATGATGGAGCATAGATGCTTTGATTATGTTTTATTTACTTATGGTTTCGTTGTGTTGTTTTTTATTGCTTATGGTTTGGTTGTGTTGTTTTTTATTGCTTATGGTTTAGTTGTGTTGTTTTTTTATTTATTATTGTGCCTTGTTTGTAGTTTTTTTTTAAATTTTAATTACGTTTTGTTTGATGTATGGAATATGTTGAATAAAATGGTCTTTTATTGAATGCTTTGTTTATTAAATAAAGAAATCCAATACAAGTCATTAAGAATTACTACTACTAAAATAAAATACATGAAGTACACCAACTTTAATACAAAACATGAAAAATAAAAATACATAAAAGGTATGCCAACTAATTTAATGGTTTTGATCATTTAACCAATCTGTGTTGCTAGGCCCATCATCCTGGAAAAGTCTTCTTCTCATAACATCCCTTCGTTCTAGCTTCCAATATTGTTTTGTTTCAGAGGACATATGGCTTGTATCCATCGTCATGGTTTCTCGATCCGTCTTCTCCATATCTTCTTTGCGCAAATACTCCTTTTCTCGTGCACACTCGGCTTGAATTGCCACCTCCATATCTTGGCGTTTCTGCTCCATTTCAATTCTTATGGCGTTTTGCCTTGCAATTTCCTCCAAAAACTTTGAATTATAATTGCTAGAATTACCCGCTTTCTTTGCCTTCGTAGCCTTTTGGCCAATAGGCCTCGGTTCCTTTTGGATGGGTGAGTCTTCACTCATAGGGGAATCGAGAGGTGAATCCGATGTCGTTGAATCACGGAGAGGCGTCTCGTTTAACACAACGTCGGGACCCGTGGGAATAATTATGAAGCGTTTACAATATTTCACCACCTCCCAACATTCATGATGGGTGAAACTTTTTTTGCCACCCCCGGTTGCACCGAACCATATCTGTGCTTGAATGAGCTATTTAACAAAAAAATGGAAATGCAAGAAATATTTAAAATATATTGGATATGCAAGTAACAAAGTAAAAATAATGGAAATGCAATTAACCTTACAAATAAATTGGAAGTGCAAGAAATATAAAGAAACAATTGGAAATGCAATAAATATTAACAACATATTGAAAATGCAAGAAATATGAAGAAACAATTGGAAATGCAAGAAATATTAACAACATATTGAAAATGCAATAAATATTAACAAAATATTTAAAATGCAAGAAATATTAACAAAATATTGAAAATGCAATAAATATTAACAACATATATATATTAGGACATTAAACTTAATAAAACGAAAATTACAAAATACTTACCTCGTTAGTACGATTTTCCCCACTTCTATACAAGTTTATCGCTTTTGCCAAGGCATCTCTCCATTTTGCCATCTCTTTGTTGAGAAGTTTTCACCTACTCGACAATGCCATTTCCGTACGAGGCGACTCTGGAATTTTTTCGCAAAATTCGGCAGGAATTTTTTTCCACATATGGAAAAGTTTCATATCATTTCCTGTCAAGGGACAATGACAAACTCGAAGCCAAGCCTCACACAAAGAAACATCTTCCATGGTGCTCCACGCCCCTCCGGTTTCAATAAAAGAAGCCATAAAAATAAGAAATAAAAATACAAGGTTAAAGAGATGAAAATGTTGAGTGAAGAGTGAATAAAATGTTGAGTAATTGTAGAAGTAGAATAAAATGTATGAGAATTGGTGTTGAAAGTGAAGGGTATTTATAGGTATTTATAGGAAAAAAAAATCAGAATTTTAAAGTATTTTATAGTATTTTTTTTAAAAAAAATTCGATTTTTTTTCATAATTTTATTGCTGAAAAAACGTCAACCGTTGGATGAAGGCTGTGGAAGCAAATCGGAGCGCTGGGGGCGTGCCACGTGGCTTCCAGCCGTTGGACATGCGTCGCGCTGACGTCAGTGCACGCTGGTTCAAATTTTTTTACCGCGTGTCGACGCCAGCCTGACATCGAGCTGACGTCAAACCCCTCGTTTTGGACCTTGGGCGGAAGTTGCCTTCGGGCCAGCTCGGGTTGGTGGGTCCCACACCTCCCCCAGGGCCTGGGCTGGTCCGCTGGCAATTTCCCCCCCCCCCCCCCCTCCCCCCCCCCCAGACTCGGGCTGGCTCCCTCGCTGGAGCTGCTCTTAAGGCTATGTAAGTTTAAATCATACAAAAGTTTCTCAAGCTAATACATGTAGCTATCTCAATGTAAGACATACATGCATGCTTAAAATGTAATAAATGCAGGCTTGGCAATTATGGAACGAAACGAAAGTGTTGGAGTTGATGGATCCGTTGTTGAAAGATTCATGCAGGGCGAATGAGTTTTTGCGATACATCCATATTGGATTATTGTGTGTTGAAGAAGATGCAAACAAGAGGCCAGCCATGTTATCGATTGTTCTAATGTTCCCCGTTTAGTCAGATGACAATTTTAATCTTTGCATTATGAAGTTGGAGTTGGCCTTTGATAAAATGCTAATTTGTGGGCAATTAAAATTAAACCCACGTTTCAATCCTCCATTAAATTTCGTTAAACATTGTATTAATATGCCCAGCTCAACGGCACTTCACAAACTCTAAACATAAATAGGGCCAAGCCCAAAAAAAAAGTATCCAAAGAAAATGAACAAAAGTAGGCCCAATACGTACAGAAGAACAAAATAAGACCCAGCAGACAACAAAAAAAAAAAACCAGAAACTCAAACAACAAAATCACGGAATTATGGCCTCTTTATATTGTTTGTTTTCAGAATTGATCAAGATACATGAGTAATTGTTCTTAATCATTTGAATTATAAGTCGTTTATTATTATACTGTTTGATGAATTAAGTCCATCAATGTGATGCGTTCTTTTGGAACCTTCCGATGAACTGGGTGGAGAAATAAATAATCCCTTTGGGCACTTCCGTCTCCATCGTCTTAAGTTTGATAATATTTTTATTTTATATAGTTTTTTTTGTCATTTCGTCTCCATCCTTTTCTTCAACGAATTTGAGTATGATGGTTTCATGGCGATAGACAGGTGTGAAGTGAGATATGCCGTCAACACACGGAAACATTAAAACTAGTTTCACTTTAGTGAATTTATTCATGAAACCCATTTCGACTTGGTAAAACTTTCTTCTTGTAATATTCTTGCGAATAATAATAATAATAATAATGAATATCAATATGATAACAACAAGAGATATTTAGTTAAATACACATTCTTAGCACTAAAATTATAAATAAACTCTATACTATTTAATTTTAATTTTTATAAACAAACTCAAAAAATGACAATTGACCCTATTGAATTTAATTTTGATTATTAAATTACTTTGATGTCCTATTGAGTGTTTTGGACTTTTTTGTGAGGTTTTAAAGTTGAGTTTGTTTTAAAAAATTAATAGCAATTTTGTAATTTAAAAGAATTTAAAGTTGGGTGTATTTCTAAAGTCTATTTCATATAAGATTTTCTTAATAATTTGACTCCTATATTAGGTATAACAGTAAATCCCCTCGAAGAAAAAAAGGCCACTGCCCTCTCTCTCCTTCCCACTCCCGCCTGCCATTTTCCTCTGTTTCAAACTTTTGTTTTTTTTGTCTTTTATTTCATTGTCTCTTCTTCCTCTTCTTTGTCTATGAATCTGATGATAAAGACAACCACCACTGAGATAATATATCTTTCAAGTTCAACTTGGCTTGAGAAATAAACAGGGAGGGATTAGCTAGCTTAATTACCTGAGGATAGGGGATGGCCTGGGCTGGCTTCATCAAGATCAAAATGCTTCCCATGACTAATCTCATGCTTGTTTCCATTCTCTCCTCCATATTTGTTGTTACTCTGCTTAGCTTTCCCAGCCCAGCTGAAGCTGATTATCTATACCATGTCTGCCCAAACACTACCACTTTCACCCCGAACTCCACCTTCCAGTCCAACCTCAACCGCCTCCTCTCCACCCTCTCCTCCAACGCCACCCGCCCCTCCGGCTTCTACAACGCCACCGCCTCCTCCCGAACCCCAAACGACGCCGTCTACGGCCTCTTCCTCTGCCGCGGCGACGTCGCCGCCACCGATGCTTGCAAATCCTGCGTCTCCACCGCAACCTCCGGTGTCGTCCAGCGCTGCCCCACCGAGAAACAGGCCGTGATCTGGTACGACGACTGCATGCTACGCTACTCCAACGAGTCCTTCTTTTCCACCATGGCCGAGGCACCTCGCCTGTTCATGTGGAACGCCCAGAACGCCACCGAACAGACCCGCTTCAACCAGGTCCTGTCCACCCGTATGAACGAGGTGGCCACCGAGGCTGCCAACGACGCCGACAAGTTTGCGACGAGTCAGGGGAATGTTAGTGGGTTGGTTTCGATTTACAGCCTGGGGCAGTGCACGCAGGACCTGTCCTCAGCGGATTGCAACCGGTGTCTCAGGGTGCCATAGCCCAATTCCCGAATTGTTGCAGTGGAAAGGAAGGGGCACGAGTGTTGTATCCGAGTTGTACCGTTAGGTACGAAGTCTACCCTTTCTACCAACAGAACTCCACGTCAGCACCTCAGCCTTCACCGGGGGCTCTACCTCCTCCTCTGCCGCCTAAAGGTAAAGTGAAGTGAACAGCTTTTCAATTCAAATTATGTCTTAAAATAGTTGGGGGAATAGGTATCTATGCTAACTATGGTGGACTTTGGATTGGAACAGGGGAATATGGTTTTGGGATTTGGCTGTTCATTTTACTAATTTCTTCATATTTAGTTTGATGTATCAGTGTAGATTCTTATTGTTTATTATGCAGGAAAAAGCAAAATCCCTACAATTGTTGCCATTGTTGTCCCAATTGCCGTCTCTATGCTACTTTTTGTTGTGGGCTCCTGTTTCATTACTAGGAGAGCAAGAAAGAAGCGCAGTGCAGCAGCAGAGGCACCAAGCGGTAAAGAATATATACCTGAAATGAATTCTAGTTTCTCATACAAATCAAAAGCATACTTTTGTTTCCTCATCTTTATACATAAATGCTTTTCTTGTTTGTTTGTGTAGGTGAGAATGACATTAGTACTATAGAGTCTTTGCAATTTGATTTTAGTACCATTGTAGCGGCCACGAACAATTTCTCTGATGATAATAAGTTAGGGGAAGGTGGATTTGGTCAAGTTTACAAGGTATGTATGTATATCAACGTTTCTGCATCGGAAAATCTCAAGTCTTAATATTTTGAGAAACTAAGGAGGTTTTAATCAATACTGGGAATTGTAAAAGTTGTGCAAGAATATACATTCCATCGATTCGTTGATTGAAGGTTGTTCTCAGGGTATACTTTCAAATGGTCAAGAAGTAGCGGTGAAGAGGCTTTCAAAGAACTCTGGCCAAGGTGCAGAGGAATTTAAGAACGAGATGGTATTGGTAGCCAAGCTTCAACACAGAAATCTGGTCAGGCTATATGGATTTTGCTTGGAAGGAGAAGAAAAGATACTTGTTTATGAATATGTCTCCAACAAAAGCCTTGACTATTTTCTATTTGGTTTGTGCCCTGAAACATCTGATAGTCTTTTCTACTGCAAGCAAAAACAATGTTACTTCAACATGTATTTGAATCTGTTTCCTTGATGATATCTTGATTGCTCAATTTTGATGATTTTCAGACCCTGAGAAACAAGGACAATTGGATTGGGTAAGACGTTATAAGATTATCGCAGGGATTGCTCGAGGAATAATGTACCTACACGAAGATTCCCGACTTAGAATTATACATCGTGATCTCAAGGCCAGCAATATATTGTTAGATGGGGAGATGCATCCAAAAATATCTGATTTTGGCATGGCCAGGATTTTTGGGGTTGATCAAACTCAAGCAAACACAAGTAGAATTGTTGGAACATAGTAAGTTCTCTCATTCATCTTTTCTTTTCTCATAACCACTTTTGTTCTGCATTATCTGGATTGATGAATTTGAGAAATGGTCCCATCTGCACTCAACAGAAAGTCCACTTTGACCCTTGATAATATCTGTATGAACTCAGACAGGGATGATGTAATTTTTGAATCGTACTTCATGCTCTATAAATAATGAAAGCCACTTAGTCTTACACGAAATTGAATGGATTAAATTATTGACATGAATATCATAAGTTTATATTTACTCCTTAAATTTTGCTACAATTTCTATACTGATGGATGGTTGTGCTTCTTGCAGTGGCTATATGTCTCCAGAGTATGCAATGCATGGACAATTTTCTGTCAAGTCTGATCTATATAGTTTTGGTGTTTTACTGCTAGAAATCATAAGTGGCAAGAAGAATAGTTGTTTCTTTCAAACTGATGCAGCTGAAGACCTCGTGAGCCATGTAAGCTTAAACTGAAAAAAACGTAGTTTTGTTCTTCTGCACCAACACCACCACAACATAAATAAAACTGTTCAATTTATGCAGGCTTGGAAACTATGGAGAGGTGGGACGCCTTTGGAATTGTTGGATCCGAGTATGAGAGATTCTTATTCCAGGAGTGAAGTTATAAGGTGTATCCATATCGGCTTACTTTGTGTTCAGGAAGATCCAGCGGACAGACCTACAATGCAATCCGTAGTTCTCATGCTTAATAGCTACTCTGTGACTCTGCCATTACCTGAACAGCCAGCATTTTTCCTTCGAAGTCGAACGGAGGGGAACATGCCGAAGCTAACTTTGGAGTCTGATCTGTCTATCAGTAAATCAACTCCATCCGTTGATGAAGGATCTATCACTGCAGTATACCCTAGATAGCGTGAATGAACAAGATGTTATATCTTGTATTATCTGTTTATATTTGTAAATTGTAATAACAAATATGAAACTTGTACTCTTGGTTTCATACGACTGTTGTTAGATTGAAAACATCAAATGGTATTTCTGTCCTGTGAGTTTCAATATCATTGATTTCAATTTGTGAGCATAGATTTATCATCCACATAATGTGATTGACAAGGTTTTATGTCTTCACATCTGTATCTTGGAAAAGATCTCTCCTTTGTGGGTCTGGGTTGAATCTTTTGCAATTTCGCGAAGAGTTGTGGTCACATCACTGTCTTGGATTGATGAGTAGAGTTATGGATACCATCTTCTTTTCTGGTTATCTTCGTATCCACATAGGAGATAATGCGTAAAACGTACAATTTGTGGAGCATACTAAATAATGATGGCCGCCCTCGCGAGGAAGACATGAGGTGGTGGCAAGAAATGGAGAGGAACTTCCCTATTCCTGTTTCATTCTCCCTCTCTCCGCATGTCACCTATAAGAGGAGGGGAGAGAGAGAGGAAGACAATTGGAGGAATTGTTCGAGGAATTTTATATCTCCATGAAGATTCAAGGCTTAGAGTTAAACATCGTGATTTGAACGTTAGCAATATACTATTAGATGACAATATGAATCCAAAAATATCAGACTTCGGAATGGCAAAAATGTTAGGAGTTGATAATCAAACTTACGGAAACACAACAAGAGTTGTCGGCACTTAGTATGTTTCAACTTGTATACCCCGTACCAAACTACTGATCTCAATTTTTGTTGTTGTTTATTTGTTCTTTCTTTATAATTATGTGATATGATGCACTCTATATGCAAAATGTATGTACAGGAAACTTTTACTTTGTCATCTCCTAATATGTGATTGTATTAACTTTTGATATGCAAGTGGCTATATGGCACCAGAATATGCTATGGACGGATTGTATTCCACAAAGTCTTATGTCTTTAGCTTCCGCGTACACTTGCTTGAGATCCTAATAGGGAGAAGAAATTTTTTTGGGGTTTCATGACTGTGCACCTACTCTTGTAGCATATGTAAGTGTTCAATTAGTTGGGTTGGGTTATAAAATTAATTGCACAACATATGTAAGTGTTCAAATATACATCGATCCTTGAAAGGTATTAACTCCGGGATTAATTGCAGGCTTGGCAGTTGTGGAACGAAGGGAAAGGGTTGGAGTTAATGGAGCCATTGTTGAAAGAATCATGCAGTCCAAATGAGTTCTTGCGATGCGTCCATATTCGATTGTTGTGCGTTCAAGAGGACGCAAGCAAAAGGCTAACTATGTCGTCGGTTGTTATAACTTTGACAACTGAAACTATTAGTCTTTCCAAACCTGAGCGACCTGCCTTCTTTACAGGAAGATGTATTATTGATCAAATTAATAGGTGCTCTTAGTTGCTCTGCCAATGGGCTCACCATTTCTCTCGATATGCCTCGTTGAGAAAGGGCTATGTGTTAACCATGGTAATCTTAGCTAAGCTTTGTAGGATAATGAAAGAATCAGACGAAATGAAGAAGAAGAGCTCTGTGTATTTCTTTAGTGAAAAAGTGTTGATGTGAGTCTCCTAATTAATCAAGGAGATTTATTTCCTTTATTAATTAAGGGATTTATTTTCCTATTTTTATATAAGTGATAAATCATTGTATAATTAGGAGATACTTTCCTAATTCTTTACTGTATTTAATTCCTTGTATAACCCTCATGTAAACTCTTATATAGACTTCCTTATGAAGAAGAATAAACTTAACCTAATACATTCAAACCATATTCACATTTTTGCAAAAACTACATTATGAGATGTTACAAGCTGAAGGCTGAGCTTATAAATTGAGCTAATTAACTAACACAGATTACGTCTAAGACTAACTAACAATGAACCTACGTGAATACACATGAAGGCTAGCCAGCTCAGCAAACTTAAGCAGTAAAAAATCTAGTCAGCAGTCCTCCACTTTGACTTCTGTTCTCACTCTGGACAAGGTGCACAAGAATTTAAGAATGAGGTTGTATTGATTGCCTAGAAGGAGAATAAAAACCATACTTGTTGTCTCTATGAATACGCGTGCCCAAAGATTTTGCTTGGAAGGAGAAGAACAGATCATATATACTTGTCTATGAATAGTGAAAGGAAATTGCAAGATTAAGGAAAGTTCCCGATTTTAGGGCAGAAAGTGATTCCATATTGTATTAAAAAATGATAAATCTTCTCCAAAGGTCTGAGACCCCTAGCTTTCATCCTCTTGATGGAGTGCTCTCAGACTGCAGAAAGTTTGTAGAACAACTTGGATATTGTGGTGTAAATCATGTTTACCGTGAACAGAACTGTGTGGCTGACAGTCTAGCGCAGGCGAGCTACATCGGTGATCTGGCTGTATGCCCTCTTGACTCTGCTCCATCTTGGATTGGCACCTTATTAGCTGACGACGTGATGGGGGTCTCTAAGACCTGCTGGATTTCTTTTGATAATAGTTTGGTTTGTTTGTTGCAGGGGCCCTGCCCCCCTACTCAAAAAAATAAAAAATAAAAAATAAAAAAAGATAATACTTCCCTCCTTGCCCATAAGAGCAAGTCCAGCGAGCAGCTAGCGGACAGCCTAGGCCCAGGGGAGGTGTGGGACCCACCAACCCGGGCTGGCCCGAAGGCAGCTTCCGCCCGATGTCCAAAATGAGGGGGGTGACGTCACCTCGACGTCAGCCTGACGTCGAGCACGCGGCAGTCAATTACGCGCCAACGGTAAAAAAAATTTGAACCAACGTGCGCTGATGTCAACGTGACACAGATCTAACGGCTGGAAGCCACGTGGCACGCCCCCAACACTCCGATTTGCTTCTACAGCCTTCATCCAATGGCTGGCGTTTTTCCAGCAATAAAATTATGAAAAAAATCAAAATTATAAATTTTTTTAAAAAAAAAACTTTAAAATTCTGATTTTTTTTTCCCTATAAATACCCTTCACTTTCAACACCAATTCTCATACATTTTATTCTACTTCTACTATTACTCAACATTTTATTCACTCTTCACTCAACATTTTCATCTCTTTCACCTTGTATTTTTATTTCTTATTTTTATGGCTTCTTCTATCGAAACCGGAGGGGCGTGGAGCACCATGGAAGATGTTTCTTTGTGTGAGGCTTGGCTCCGAGTTTGTCATTGTCCCGTGACAGGCAATGAGATGAAATTTGTCCATAAAAAATTCTGGAGTCGACTCGTACGGAAATGACATTGTCGAGTATGTGGAAACTTCTCAACAAAGAGATGACAAAATGGAGAGATGCCTTGACAAAAACGATGAACTTGTATAGAAGTGGGGAAAATCATACTAAATTTTGTAATTGTCGTTTTATTAAGTTTAATGTCCTAATGTATATATGTT